TTTCACTAGTTCGGACTTCAATTGTCTACTATATAAAATGATTTGAAATCCTTTATTTATTCTTGTGGATGATTCCACAAGTGCTCTCTAAGTGAAGCCAGCCAGGCATAGAAAGGACCCTTTCGAAATATCATCCTCCGCACATTGAATCGGTATTGGTTGAAAGTTCAGGCAATGCTACCACCTATTACATTCGCCCCATCAAACACAAGAAACCCACCGATTCCAAGTATGACATTACTGAAAGTATATATCTCTGTCTGTACCCCACTTCTTACTCTACGTCAAGTACTATGAAAAACAACTATTTGACTGAACAAAAGAAGAAAAGTACTAGTTGACGTCTGTTTGTATACCGAACCGTAACAAGAATAAACATAATCAAAATGCAATAGGTGAATAGCATTCTGATTGTGATTCATTTGTAGGACTACTACTACATTAGACGTCTCAAAAGAATCTCAGATTTGTAAAAATAGAAAATAGAAATTTTCAATGATTGGTTTCAATGTGTTCAGATTGTCTCGCAACGAGCATAAAATGAGAAGTGGAAAAATGAAATGAAACAACTAACATACAACTGAAAATATTGTCATTTATGGGGAATGTTGACGATGCGCAAGAAGAACGACAACAATATTCAATAAAAGATACTTTAACAGTACTTGCACTGTTTGGAACTTTTGGTGTAGTAATGAATATTACTGGAGTTTTTTCCCAACAACAAATTGTTATTTCAATACCTTGACACTTGTTTTGATCACCAAGTGATCACCTTCAAGAGGAAAATTAAAGGATGGAAAATTGAGTTTATGCGGCTGGTAACATAATTTTGAAGTTGAAGTATTCACTTCAACCGAGATGGATCTCAAGCACACTACTTTCTTTTAGTCAGACGGTGGTTGAACGATATAATTTCTGGTACATGGATTGGTCGAAGAAGAGCAAGAGAATGATCACCTCGATCATCTGAAATTGATACGAATCCTCAAAAGATTTGACGAGAAAAATAACAGTTGCGTGTAGAGAACTTTAGGCTAAAATATTTCGGAAAATTATAGAGAACTTTGAGAGCAGCCTTTATACCTGTTTGGGAACAGGTCAAGTATGTAATAATTTTTAATTGGCCGACTGAAGTATTATTCAACAACCCTTTACATTCAAGATTTTAGAGGTTGTGCCGTCTTCACCGAAATACTGATGTGATTTAATTAAAAAGTAGCCTATAAAATGTTTCCTTTGGAAATAAGTTTGACGGGTTTTTGAATAATTGTAGATTTTCTGTAGGGGTCGAAACATATAGGGTGATAAGTTCTCATATTGAAACCCTATATACGTTTCAGTAGTAAACGTGCCTGTGGAAGCAAACGTTTAAAACTCACAATGAAGTGTTACTTGAATAATTTGGCAACTATGACTTAAAATTTAATATTTCCTGAGAGACAGTATTTTTGTTCTAGTGTGGGTGAACTGTTTCCAATATATAAAAAATTTCAAATAGTATACCAATTGTCCAAAATAGATAAAAAGAGTTTTAGGAGATAGCTTATGTTACCATTAGAAAGTACTAATAATTTAAATTTCTATGTTTTTTTTTTCACTTTTCCAAACGTAGTAACGGCTACATCCATCAATTTAAAATAATAATTTGATTGAAAGGAAAATAAATTTGTTTTGGTTCACAAGATATAAAACTCCTCCATCAATTTGTGTAATTGATGACTTTTTTATTTTGTGGAAATTCATGATCACTTTAATAAAAATGCATGAAAACACTTTTGCCTAATTTCCACAAGTTGCCTCATTTTCATGACCGGTTTGGGAGGTTACTCCATTATCAAGTATAAAAACTAACTAATACATTTGAAATGTAAAAATGTGGTTATATAGGGAGTTTGTAGATAAGCTGGATGGAAAGGTAATTAAATGAACAGGGGTGTCGACTATAAAAATTCAACACTGGAGATTATAGAAATTACCAAGGTTGTCAAACTTATGAATTCAAGAGTGGAGACCTACATAAATCAACTTGCTTGTTTGGGGTTATATATTTCGGGTTTTTAATTAATTTATTAATTTCCATGGCTTCCAACAAATTCATTTTTTCCCTTTATTACATATGTGTAGGATTTTGAGGTTATCCTTACTTATCTTGTGTTTTGATTGTTGCAGATATTCATACTTTGAAGATTTTTTGTCCAAATAGACGTGTTCACGGAGCCTTACGTCCAAATTTCTACCAGTTTGGCCTGTATATACTGCAGAGCATTCGCCACACTATTCTATATACACCTGTATTTTTCATTCTATCTCGTTTAGGTTTTGCATTGAACAGAATTCTGCCTGAATCATTATTACTTATGAAAGCTGTTGTTATGTTATATTTAAAAAAATATTTTGAATATTTTCTGAAAGTTTAGCTGAGTAATTATTGTGACCATATTTACATGTATTGTGTGCAGTGATATTTGGGTATATTTCACTCATAAGCGATTTTTGAGTTTTATTTCTTATTATCTTTTCTATTAAAGAAACTGGTACCTGATTGTTTAACCACAATTTGTTTAATTATTTTTAGTTAATCCTGCAAGTTCTTTTCAGGTTAAGAGGTTGCGAATACTCTGTGTATCATTGACCTGAAGGTGGATAATTTATGTGGAAATGGACTGAAAAAATCAAAGGTGATTGTACAGTCTGTGAAGGTGTTTTTCCGGTAAATATTAAATTGAGAACCATTATTAGCCCCTGAAATAGTCAAATCTAAGAAGTTGACCTTCTTCTTTTGTTCGATTTCTACTGTGAATGTATTTTTGTTAAGCAGACTATTGAAGAAGTTTAAAAATTGATCAACTTGTCTGCTTTAACCACCAAAACCTACCAGTACGTCATCAATGTATCTGAATCAAAACATAATAATATGTCTCTGAGAAAGGGGGTCTTTGAGGATGAGGATATTTTCTAGTATGTCCATGAAAATATATGTTAGAATGGGACTCAATGATGAGCCCATAGAAAGACCTGGGTTTTGTAGGTAAAATTTATTATTATATTCGGAAAAAAATTGTTTCATGAGATTGCAAAATTCGTTATTTATATATGGGTTTGTATCACATTTATTTAATATGTTTTTCACAAGGGAAAAGCATTCATCTGTTGGAATGTTCTGAATCTATTAAAAAAACATCAGAACAAAAATACTGTCCCTTGACGCGCGTTTCACTAACCAAGTTAGCATCATTAAAAGAAGTTTTAGTCATCTCCTAATGACGCTTAGTTGGCTAGAAAAATGTATGTCGAGAGACAGTATTTTGTTCAGGGAAAAGTATTTTCATTATATTTACTTCACAGCAGAGGCTCCACTTCTACCAAATCAGGAAAGTATTTTTCTGAAAATGTAGAAAAAAATGGGGGATTATGGAAATTAGGTTCAATTTCATCAGACATGTTTTCTGTTTCGACCTATTTGAGACACAATGAAATCTATTTTTTTCAATAAGTTTTATTCTCCATCATGTGATATAATACAATATACAATATAAAAATATATATATATATATATATAAAATTGGAATATAAATACAGTAATTATTATTTATTTTGTACATATCCTACATGTACATATATACAAGAACTAGTTCCTTTCTCCATATTCAAAACAAATTAATGAGATCAAAATTGACTTGATTGAGGTTTCATCCTTTCTCGATAACAAAAATTGTGTCACAATTATACTTCTTTCATTGTATATGAAAGGAAATCTATTCGTATCTCAACTATCTACTAAAAGTTCAATATCATTCGTCTACCTACATTCACTCAATAAGGACGATCCCAAACGTCATGTTTTATTTGAAAGGCATTTTCGTGAATGTTATACTACTAGCATGGATTCCAAGATAAATAAATGTGTATCGGATGATATCAACTAGTCTGGGGGGGGGAGGATTGAAAATTTCGTAGGCTAACACACAGATGCATTACTTTTTGACAAAAAAAAACTGTTGAAGCCACGGCTCGGCTTGATAAACATTGTTCAGACTTCACACCAGGAAAATTAACCGTTTAGAAGTGGTTTGCTAACTTTTAACGAGGTGAAATGAGCACCGACGACGATGCACGCAGTGGACGCCCCAAAGAGACTGTTACCAACGAAAACATAAAATAAGTCCACAAAATAATTTCGTATGACCTCAAAGAGAAGTTGATCGAGATAGCTGAGGCTCTAAAGATATCAAAAGAACGTGTTGGACATATCGTGCGTGAATATTTGGGCATGCGAAAGCTCTGTCTAAAGAAAGTGACGCGCGAGCTCACAATCGACCAAAAACAACAACGAATTGATGATTCTGAGCAGTCTTTGAAGCTGTTCTACTATAAAAAAACAAAACGAATTTACGCATTGATATGTGACAATGGATAATACATGGCACCACCATTTCACACCAGAATCAAAACAATCGTCATCTGAGTGGACTGCACGTGGTAAAGTGACTCCAAAGCGCTCAAAGATAGAGTCGGCTGGCAAGGTTATGGTATCAATATTTTGGAATGCGAATGGTGAAATATTCATCGACTATCTTGAGAAAGAAAATCACTAACAGCGACTATTTTATAGCGTTATCGGAGCGTTTGAAGGACGAAATCTCCTATTCGAAAAAAAGTGCTGTCCCATTACGACAATGCATCGTGCCTCAAATCAATGAAAACGGAGAAAAAATTAGATGAGTTGAGCTTCGAATTACTTCCGCATCTACCGTATTCTTCAGATCTGCCCACAGCGACTTTTTTTGTTCTCAGACCTCAAAAGAATGCCCGATGGAAAGAAATTCAGCGACGATGAAAAAGTAATCGACGAAACTGTGGCCTATTTTGAGGCTAAAACAAATCGTACTATGAAAATGGTATCAAAAAACTGTATGACCGCTATAATAGTTGTATCGCCCCCGATATCGTTGTATCACCTTGGATAATAAAATCAAATTTTATCACACATTATTTTCCTATGTTAGCTCACGAAATTTTCAGCCTAACTGTTATATCAAACGATGGCAACGGAGGAAACATGTTTGAAAGAGTTTACCAGAGAAGAGAATACCAGTTTCACGATAATATTTCCCCAACATCAGGAAGGATGTGGATTGTCCAGAAAACAGAATGGTACTTATGAAGTCTGCATAGCCTCGCCAAGAGTTCTGCTCTTTTTATTTGTATGGTTCGTGACCAGGAAAAACAAAAATTGGTAGGAACATTCCTTCCTAAAGCGAAATTCTTACTTAATTTTACAGTTGTAGTCAGTTCAGCAGAAACTTATATTTTGAAGCCGCAGAGACTACTTTACAATGTGTTTGACATAAAGAAGGCCAGCATGGAAAAAACCTGAACCGTAATGAAACATAAAAAATCGATTGAATTAGAAAAAGTTGCCTATTATACAGATTAAACATTTCAAAATATAAACAATTATTAGTGTCGTATATCACTGGGGTGATTGCCAAAAATGTCAACTTATACCGGTGGATTATTTTTTTCGGTCCATTTAAAAAAATTAAAATTTGTTATGGTTTCTCTGAAACGAAAAGTGGGATTGGAACTTCATTTGAATAAGCTTCAGCATGGTCAACTTTTTTCCAATTCAACTGACTTCGTTACACACAGTTCACAACAGAGTCGCGATTAGAAAGAACAAAATCCGGGTTGGTAGGCTGTGATCGAAAGGAAATTGTAGTACCAAACATTCCGCTATGGCAGACATCTTCCGTGGGTTGTACGATGACTGTGAAGACGTAGGTAATATTTCGAAGTCAATGCATAAACCACTGCTGATATTTATCGCAGTAGTAGACAAAACTTTTGCTACCACAAATTCCTTTCGAGCATGGCCGGATTTTGTCTCTCTAGTTATCCGATATTTACCTTCCGAGTCAGTGACTGAAGGATAATCATGGTGTGCCAGGATACTATCTTCAATATCCTAATCCATCTAAGCAGATACAAACCAATAAGTCTGACGTAGTTCTCCTTGACCATTAAAGTAAAACGATATGCGACATTGAATTTTTGGCTCTGGCTGAAATGGGAGTGGCCCCAAAATTGGAGGCAATATTGAAATTTGTTGCTTGAACTATTCAGACTCCACCTATACCATTCTGCTGAATTGGTTGGGATCATAACGATTGGCTATAATATAGCAGAAATTTTGGATATCCATGTTCAAAAGTTTGCCATTCATTAATAGTATAACAGCATGCCTTCCGTGAGTTTTTCAGAGATTGTAACAATGTTTATGAGGAACCATTTCTACTGAAAAATATAACCTTGAGTAATATAAGTTATGTAATAATAATATAATATGAATTTGAATAAAAACAATGTCGATATCAGTTATCGCATTTCTTACGTTAACTGATATGTTCTCAAGCAGGATATTTGTTGATGTTGAATCAACCCTTCTATTTTTTCAATCGTTTTCATTTTTATTGTTTTGTTTGTGCTAGAGGTCAATTTCTACCTCTCAACCAGATAAAATTTTTGAAATGGTCTTGATTTTTAGTAGTTGAGTAGAGGAGTAGCAAATAAAAACTATTTTCCCAACAAACTTTCGGTGAATGATAAGACAAGCCTGCATGGAACAGATGAACTAATCTGAAAAAAAAAATGAAAAAGGTGATCAGTGAATTTCATCCATTTCATTATTATATGAGAATAAGGTAGCAGCAGATATTAGAAATTCTGCTTCAACACATACCAGAACTACAACTCAATTAGACAACCAAGTAGGGGTCATTATGAGATGAAATGAACTCAGTATACTGTATTCCTTGTGACGTCAATTCGGCTGGTGAAACACGTGTTGAGAATAGTTTTTTCAGTTCTGGTGTGTGGGACCGATGTTTGTTTGAGATTCATTTCACTCCAGAGGTTTCACTTCTACCCTTCAGAATAAGTAAACGTTAACTTTTCTGATGCATTGATAAAATCACGCATTATTCGCGAGGTATGCTTTTATGGCCCGTTTCCAATGAAATTGCGAAATTTCTTCAGAAATTTGGGCATGAGCTCAGTAGTTAGAAAATGTCAAAATTTATTATGCACATAAATAGGTAGTACTGAAACTTTTGAAGTAAAATGATTGATTACAATGATCATCCAATTATACCACTTTGAAGAAAAAGAGTTTGAAAACTGCTTGTTTGAAGGAGGTTGACAATGTTTCGTGGTGCATTTCATTAGTTCGGACTTTCATTGTCTAATATGATATTGAAAACTGCTACTATACAAGCAAAATTTAATGGTATTTAAGAAAGCAAAAGACCAGGAATCAAATTCACAATGAATTTTTAAACACTGTATATGAAATTAGTTGGTTTATATACTAAGTATAAGGAAAACTACGATATTCTGTCAATAACTCAGGAACTTTTTGAGGAAAAAAATATCTCAAGTTTTCAGGAGAAAATTTGGCTATATAAGCATTATTTGAAAATGTGCGGAAATTATATTAGTTTTTCTCCGTTGAGAAAGTTTTCAGACTATTTTCGAATGAATGGTAACTACTGACTTATTTAATCAAAATGGGCAACTTGTAAAAAATCATACCGAGGAAAATCCTTGAAAAAGGACATTTTATGCAAACCAAATTCACTACGTCGTATGTTGTGATTGTCGGAAATATTTATCGTTTATTCTGTGAAGTTTTTTAGCAAACTAGAATAAATAATCCGACAGAGCAGTTAAATTTTCTCGACGAAACAGTTGAAGATCCGATAACTGAGTCCAAGATTCACTGCTTGAGGTTTTGAGACTGAATCACTTCATGAAATCATCACTTGTTGCCGAGAAGATAGATCTCCTAATCCTTCATTCAACACTGAATAGTTTTTGGAAACCTGACCAGCTGTTCTTGAGTAGTTAACAGTTTTATACTTTTTTGATAAACATGAAAACAAACGAAACAAAAAACTTTCTAATTTATTCCAATGATTGTTCAAAATGTTCGCCATTCACGTCTTGACAACAAATATGTCTGTTTACATTTTTCTTCAATTATGAAAAGTTATTGAAAAATTTTGGTATATAAGAACATCTTTATCTCTGCATAAGTTCTGGAGTGAACTGCGAATTTGTGTCGTTCACTTCATATGTCACGTATTTCGTCAAAAATATGTAAAGGCGACATGTCACGTGATTTAGTGGGTCATTCTAAGGAAACGCGCCAATTTGGACAATTGACACACCCAAATAAGTTACCAACTTGTTTCGTTTCAACAAAAAAGCTTACACCTCATTATGACAGGCTGGTTCGATAATAATTATTCAAACCCTAACCGGTGGATAGGCAGACGCCATTCAAGAATTGCTTGCTAGATCACCTGATCTGATGCTCATAGATTTTTTTGTTGGGATTCTAGAAATCTTATATATATATGTTACATAACTGCAGTCCATTTTAGAGCTCTTAGACAAGAGATGCTTCTGGTAACATTCTATAATAATATGAATTATATTTGTAAAACAACTTCATCATTGTGGACATTTTGAACATTCATTGGTGAATATATATAATGACCTGAGTTTTGAACGAACTTTCTTATTCAAATTATGATATTTATCATTCGTTTGCATATTTTTCAAACGACTATAGCTCAACTAATTACTGAGGAACGGCTAATTCGATTTCCAAAAATAAGTGTTTGATACAAAATTGAAGTACTTATCAAACGAGGTATCACGGTGACGAGTGATGCCACTAATTGAAAAGTACTAAAAATGATGCCTATTCACGCAAACTTTGTCTAATTTTGATATCTTGTTCCGTTCAGTCAAGAAACAAGAGGGACTTTTTACGTCCGCCCTAAAGGTACAAATATGTCCAAGATCCGATTTTGCCATTCAGACCACCCTTACATTGGACAGTGAATACCAGAGAAGATAATTTCAAAAAATTTAACTTTCACATTATTCACTTGAGTAACTGTAAGGAAGTATATTTATCTAGAAATGAATTCCAAGAAAACGAAAGAGGAATTTTTCATATCTATACTCATGTAAAATCGAACACACCTTTGAGGAATTCAAACTTGTCAACGATGTATTACTCAGAAAATGACGGCGTTATGAATGTATATAACAATCATTTCAATGCATCATTATTCTTCAGAATAGATAATTTGTGTGATATGAAAGCGATAAGTTATCGACCTTTTCCGAACAGGTATTTCCGAGCATAACATGATTTTTAAAGTAATTTATTTTCAGTTTGAAGGAGATTTTTACTGTTTATTACAATATTTGTTCTAACTGAAACTGACTGAAAGAACTACAGTCATAATGAACACTTTTTTGAAATTTGAGCAATCATTTGACTAACTAACCTTCAATGGAGATAATGAAACATTCATTTCATTCTTCATAATAATTGTTACACAAGATCTGTCATGGAAAGGTAAAAAGAGCATTGAATCTGTTGAAAACACTTTTCCACACCAGAACAAAAATACTATTTCGTGACGCGCGTTTCACTTATCAATTTAGCATCATCATACGATGCTCTGGTATGAGAAAAGTGATTTCAATATATATTATGTTATATTCAAATGGATGACCTCTACCATTCTGGGAGGATTCTAGTGTACATTGTACACCTAAACGTTCACTATGTATTATTTTTTATATAGATACGACCTGCGTGACGAATGAAGTTTTCTCTTTTCAATAATTTGAAATTTTATTTTTCAATAATTTGAAAAATAAAATTTCGAAATATTCATCTCTCCCAATTATCTACACTGTAGACAGAGATTAAGTGAAAGAGCAATTGAATGGTGACTTGTCATCATGTAAATTGAACTTCGCCTTTTATCTTCATATAATAAATGAACTGTTCCTGATCAATTTGCTTTAAATGCATTAGAACATAATAAAGACGATATTATTATTATTATTTATGCGAGATACTTCACAGAGTTCAGTCTTGTAGATGTTTTTTGTTCATCCAGAAGCAGGACAATGCTGAAATCAATCAAGCAGATCACCTATTTCGAGGTATTACCTTTCATCAGTGCAGGAAAGATCTAACCCAAACTCTCTCTCTCTCTCTCAGATGAAGATTTCATAATAATGAAGATGAAGTAAGCAGAATTGTCTCAGATGTCTATAAATGTCAAAGTATACAAGATATTATTTTCAAAAATTCAATACCAGGGCTATTTTGAGTGAAACTGGAATTTCTTCCGGCCACCATCATCAACTCTATTTTTTCTTATGGGTACTATATTGGATTCTAACTGTTTTGAATAGAACCAAATTTCACCTTTTCAATGATGTATTATAAGTTATCATCATTTTTCGAAAAATTGGAGATATTGAGAAAAATTAATTCTTATCATAATAGGCTTCGACATTGATATTTCTAAACTTGACTTTCAATTCGTTACATTCAATGCCATTTTGTTATTGTACAAGTCATTGAGAATTTTTGGCGCGAAATGGCTATCACGAATGAAGAAAAAAAATATTATACAAATTTATTACAAATACGATAGAAACAGTAACACATCATTGAAAAGGTAAAATCTGATTCTATTCAATACAGAAAGAATCCAATGTAGCGCCCATAGCGCACATCTGAAAACACCAGAGAAAAAGTGTTTTTTCCGGATATCTCCGGATATACTCGGAATTTCAGAAAGTTCTTAACGGCATATTGTCAGTCAGGTAAATGCACAACTTTTCCCCAATTTAACCATCTTCGTATCTCTCATAGTTTCCGAGATCCCAATGGTGAGGATCGAACTTGAAACACCCTGTATATCAATGAAGAAAGAAGGAAATTTATTCATTCATAGACCAACTACATGGTATCCAATTAAATTTTGAACACCTAATAGGTCCTAAGGTCCTCTAGAAGTAATTAATCTATTTCATTCGTTGGCATCCGGTATATAAAGAAAATGTGTGCACTTACCAAATTAAAAAATTATTCGACTTCCCACAGAAGTTTTGTAGTGATATCAACTAGTTCATCACAAAACTTTTCATCCCTGTAATATATTCTCAGAACGTCCTCCAGAGTAAGTTCTCCTTTGTTATGTAAATCATTCTTCAGAACATCGATGACACTTTCCAATGACGGTACGTCTGCTTCTCTAGGCGGATTTTCAGGAATTGCCCTGGAAGTTGAATATTAATGAACAAATAATGTAACCCAGACGATTTATCCGAAGAGTAAAATTTAACCCAAGAGGTTCGGTAGATGAAATCATTACAAACATTTTGAACACTGGGAACTTTGTCAAAACTTGGAAAGCATGCTCGGATATAACGAAAAAGATTTGTAGGACTTTTTTAGAGAGTCATATTGTTGAATCCGACTAAAACTTGACCAGATATAAGAAAATACGAATTCAAATTGACCAAAATTTCAAATATTTTGCATTTCGGCAGGATTGCACATATTTATATAGAGTTCAAATTTGGCATCAGTATATCTTTTAGTTCCCACAAATGTGCAGAACAATTCATGTTCTCAGCGAGATATTGTGAATATTCGCAAAAAACGATCAAAATGTATCGTTAGAATTGATGTTCTGGACAGAACTCAGGAAAAGTTTTTTCTTAAAAAACAAAAATTTCACGTCCTTCAAAATGAAACATTGACTTTTTGATTCAAAATGGCACTCAAATAAGTACTTTATTTTCGCAGCATGTTTTTCAAAAAACTTTGGGAATTTTAAAGTATCGATTCGCCTCCAATTATAATCCTAAAATAACCTATGAACCGCGGAGCTTGAAAAAACCTTCCGTATCTTCGTCAATTCTTCGTCAACCGATTTTGATGATACTTTTTTCACTTTCAGGTTCTACATTGAAATTAGAAGGTATTTTTGATTACAAATTAAGAGGGCGGAAAAATTACCAGTGATCGAGTTTTGATCGCATCTAAAGCACGGTTTGGACGTAATATTATTCTCGTTTCAACATAAATATTGAAACTTTGCTGTAAGTGACTAACTTGCAGTACTCGCAAACATTGCAATTACTGTTTTATATATACTTCTTTTTGAAGAAAACTTATTGCTAATTATATCATTGGTACTTCGAAAAAATGAACCGACAAAAAATGAAAATGAACACTACACGTTTTTCAATAATGTCAGGTGGGTGTAATTATTACACTTCAAGTTTCTATTTTTACAGATACCTTTGGTGATGCAATTCAAAAAAATTATTCAGGAAAATACAGTCAAGTTACCAAAAAATCGATGTTTCATTTCAAAAGTTGTAAAATTTAGGTATTCACAAAAAAATCACAAATATAAACCATACATCTTGCCCGTTATTTGCTAAAATTTGCAGTAACTCGCGAAAAATAGTTTTTATACGAAGTTTTTTGTGAGTTAAGGGCATTCCCAGTGTTTGAGATGGAAAACTTTCCAATACGTTATTTATAATAATTTTACACCTATTCAAGTGACACTTCATTGTGAGATTTTCACTCGACAGTTCACAAAATCATGTCACGTGTTTCGCTGTACCATAGATTCCTCATGCTTTGTATGACAATTTAAATATTGTGACCTTCTACCTACTCAATGACTAATAATCTTACCTGAGTTGAGGTATGAAGTAGTTAATTATCTTTTGAACATTATGAATATTACTGGAGTTTTTTCCTAACACCAAACCGTTATTTCAATACCTCGATACGTGTTTCAAGAGGAATATCAAACTGTTTGATCAGTTCGAAGGAAGATCAAACTATTTGATCAGTTTGATCTTCCTCTTGAAGATGATCACTCGGTGATGTAAACACGTGTCGAGGTGTTAAAATAACGGTTTGATGTTGAGAGAAAACTCTAGTAATATTCATTACTACACCAAAGGTTCCAAATAGTGCATCACAAGTTTTGAACATTATATTAGTTTCCGAGCATTCCAAAAGATTTGGATCCAAACCTATCTCTTAGAAATGTATCACGTCATAGTCGTGGTTAAACTCTGTCATAAGACTTGCGTTTGCAAATGTGAAATTAGTCTTTACATTCAGAAAATCACTCCTATGTTTTTTATTTTTCAGGATAAGAAGAACCACAAGTGAACTTAAATACTCATGCACTCCTGATCTATCCGACACTGAAGTTTTGTCTTAACTGTTTTCAATAAATCTTTTTGAAAAAAATTTCTAGATTTGACTATTTCTGAATTTCACCAAGAACATGATTTTCTACAAACCATGTTTAACGGACATTGTCATACACAATTCCTCGACACATTCCTATCAGCATAAAGTACCACCATGCAATAGTATGGTTTTCATACTATTGGGTTTTATCAAGCAGACTTCTATAAGCAACGGTTACAAGGTTAATATCATCGACTCCATTCTTTGGAAAAATTATACGAAAACAAGCTATTCACCAGGTCCATTGCACTTCAAGAAACGATAACAGGCGCCCATATGACATTGAAATACCCAACAAAACATCGCTCGTCTTTGAAAAAGAAAGACTCGGACGTGGCTAGCAGAACAAATAACAATTTGATCAAATTCATTATGTATAACAAAAAAATTAAATTCGGATTTTTATAGATCAGGAACATACAAGTTGATTTTGGCTTCTTGCTGAAAACTTTATACTGACCAAACGAGAAGAACTGCAATGAGCAGCGGACTAACTCAGATTATAAATGAGCCAACCAGGACTGTGATGGAGTATATGCTAGTCTTCTGGATCTATATCTACCAACAATCCAGAAATTTACACAGTCACCGTAAGGTCTCCATTCGGATCTTATGATCACAAACTCATTTCAATGTTGAGTGAATTACCAATAAATGTTGGGAAACAATCTAAGCCGCGCAAAGTTTGACATTACAGATCTGCAGAGTGGGAGGACCTTCCGAAATTTCTTCTGGCTAGATGTTTGTTTCAACTCAAAAGATCCATCAATTTGTGCTTCTGAAGTCACGGAAGTTATTCTATCATCCATGTTTGCATATGTTCCTTTTTCAATGAAATGAACTTCCAACGGTAATTCTTGGTTCAACAAAAATTGCGAGCAAGCTGCCAAAAATCCCGCCTACCGGCAGTGGCGCAAAAATCCCAGTGACGAAAAACGAACTAGGTTTGTTAATGCTCGCAACTGCAAACCGAGGACGAATGAAAGCAAAGAACTTCACAATCAGAAAATTAGGGATACCCTGTTTGCCAATCCCAACGGGTCTAGATCCTTCTGGTCGGTAGCTGAAGCTGTTAATCAACATTTTTACAAAATCCACAATTCCACCACTAACACAAGCGGATGGTTCAATTGCAACAACAGCAATAGAAAAAGCAAATCTACTACTTCTGGGAAAGATACCACCTACTATTCCCACACTAGAATCCACAATGCCGGAAATTACTTTTCGACAACTTCTAGTCAGGCGTATTCTGAAACAGCTCAATATCAACAAGGTGTCTGGTCCTGATGAAGTGCCCGTCATCGTACTTAAAAAGCGCGCAAATGAACTCGCATCAGTATTTTGCAGACTTTTCACCCTGTCACACAAGAAAGGAGTTTTTCCTTCTTGTTGGAAGATTGCTCGCATTCAGCCTATTCCCAAAAAAGGCAAGAAACATATTCCGAATTACTACAGACCAGTCACTTCGCTATCAGTTATATCAAAAATCATGGAAAAAGCCGAAAACCACCATATTCTCAAATAATTGAAAGACTTCAACATCTTGAGCGATCATCAATATGGCTTTCGATAACAATGATCAACCGGCGACCTTCTATCGTATATCACCCATATTTGGAATAACCTAATCGAGAAACATTGAGAGTCAAGAGCTGTAGCGCTTGATAGGTCTTTGACCGTGTGTGGCATGAGGGTTTGTTGGCTAAACCTAATAGCCATGGCAACGAAGAAATTCTGAAAAGACATTTGAAGTTTGATCAAACTTCAAATGTCTTTTCAGAATGTCAATTATCAAAATTCAAATATTTCCTCTTTCCTCTTCCTCTTTGGTTGCTACCACACCACCGAGAAAGTGCCAAGCATGGGCCAGTGAAAAATTTTTACAAATGTGTGAATAAAATACATTTTTGTACTTTTTCTCTGTAATTTTAAATTGAATGTGTGACACTTTTCTACATGATGAAAAATATTAACTTTGTTTTTGTCATTGCCACGTCCGACTTTACTATAACCTCAAGTTAGTAAGTACATTTTTCACCTATCTGTTTTACAATTTTGTTGCAATGTTTGAAATTTTTTGTAGATGTCTTGATAAAGGGAATAAACATTCTCGAAAGCTCGACCATATGACAAGGAGTATTCTTTAAATAACAGCCCAGTAATTTTCACTGCATCCCCAACAATATTCCATATTTCTCCTTAACTAGTCAGTCAAGACTACCAAGCGCCGAACCGCTTGGCTACCGGTTGAGTCGGTAGCCAAGCGTTTCGGCGTGGGTGCTTTGTTCACTTGCTCGAATTGACTGCCGTGTTGGTCGGTGGTTCAAGCCCTAGTCTGAACGATCGTTCTTCACTTGCTATCGTCCAACCCGTGTTAGGAATCACACGTTAAAAGGTAAGACCTCGTTAATCCTCAGCTCGCACAAGTTTCGACTTCTGAGGGTTGTCGTTCGTAGGGGTGCGACAGCTGGTTAACAAAAAAACAGATTTTAAACAGATTTAAACAGATTCGCTTTATATATATAAAAAACAGGAACTAAGTATGAGAGTGAACAATTACATAACGGAAAACGATTTTAGTACGATGAATCACGATCCAACCACAAAATATGAAAGACAAGTCAATAACCTAATAAAATCCAACAAACAGATCTTTAACATCAAAAAATTGAACAGATACACAGTCGACAACCCAAAAGCACCAAAACTCAACGCACAGATGAAGATACATAAGGAAAATAAACCTATAAGACCGGTTATCAATTTTACCAAAGCACCTTCATACAAAATTTCAAATGAACTGAAAAACAAAATCAACAGGGACAACATCTACAGCATCAAAAACTCAATGGAATAAAAGTCAGCCCGAACACTAAACTATTCTCATTCGACATAAAAAATATGTACTCCAACATGTCAACGAAAGTATAAACATCATATCTGATAAACTAAAACACCAAAACATAGACAAAACCTACATCAACC